CGCGTAGATTCGCGGAGAACACCGTGGACTATTTATCGCTGGGGCTCAACACGCTCATGAGGAATCACGGAAGTCCGAGGAATCTGAGGAAGTCCTCGAGGGACGCCGCATCGACTATCGTCGAAAACAGGCTGTTGACGCCGAGCAAGTACAGAACGCCGGCCGGCCGGGACTTCGGCACGCAGACGGACGTAGAATCCGATATTCAGGATCTACGGGAGAAACTGCAGGACCAGTCGATCGGGGAACCGGACACCACGAAGGACAAGAAGGACACGACAAACGCCAGTCGAAGAAACGTTGAAAAGTGAGTCGCCACCTCGCGATCTCGATGTCGCATTCCCAGGCTTCTTTCGAGCCGAACGGCGACCGTGTCCTCCCCTGCATGCGGTAGTATCTGGCGGTAATTATCGTTTTTTTATTTCATAGTGTATAGTTTTTGATGATAAGCTTGTGATGATTGTAAAAACGATTTTGTGGCGAAATGTCTGTCGATTCGCGCGAGGGAAATATGCAGTAAGTGGAATGTTCCTAATTATTTTTTAAGAGAAGAAAGCATACGTTTCACTTTTCTTTATTTATGATATTGTTTTTGTCAGTCTCATTAGAGTTTGCTGCTTGAAGTTTGAATGCATTTGCTAAATTTGCCGAAGCTTGAATATCTGTTATCATTTCACCTGGCATAAACGGTTTAAGAACGTACGTCGATACTGCAACGCGATTCTAATCGCGATTTCGTAGGTCGATCAATGTAGGTCCGGGCGATGAGATTCCCATGAAGACGCGATCCAAGTCGCAGCCCAGAACTACGCTCGACAGCAGACCGCGATGGAACGCTAATCGGTAATGCCAAAAAACCTACGATAACACTTAAGTATAATTGTTCTTAAATAATCCATTAGAGACAGATATCGCGAATGTAAAAATGATTGAAGACACTCTCAGTCCAGGTACGCGATATCGGACACAAAGTGAAAAAGATCCGCACTATCAAAGACGATTGCGATTGCGAAGGCGACAAGTCGAATCCAGCGACGAAGGATCGAGGTAAAGAAATTGAAAAAGTAACATTAAATTAAATCGCGGTGCTATTTTTTTAATTAATCATTGCAATACCTGTTCTTTTAATTAATTATTACAATACTTTATCATTCCAAGATTAATTTTAATTGCAAACAGGTCGCCGTCCCCGGATCGGCGGAAATCGAATAACGGAAAATCGAAGAACCGAAATACAATGAGACGTAAAGCGAAACTCGAGAGTTATGACGCCGACTTGTCGATGGACAGTCTGAATTCCGTCGTGCCACTGCGAATTGACAAAAACGGGAAGATCAATATTGAGGAGCGTGTCGAAAAAGTGCGGCCTAACAACGCTTGTAACGATGCGAGCCGCACAAAGCAGTCAGATAACGATAATGTCTGGTGCGGACAAGAGATTTTATCCAAGTTATCGTCGTTGAAAAGCGTATGTGACAAATGAATAATATGACATCGCGATATATTTTGATCAGAAATTTTATATAACTGCAATATCTTATATTTATTTCGTATCATAATTAATTTTGTATCTAACTGAAAAAAGTCTGCAACTTTCGGTCGATTTTTATAACCCGTTATCTTTTTCTTTGTCGCTCGCGTCCTTAGCAACGAGCCGTGGGACAGCTAAGTTTATCCGCAGAACATCGCGTGTCTTAATAATTATAGCCAATGGTTTATTGCTAAGAATACGAGCGGCAAAGAGAAAGCAATGCGCATCAATTACGAAAATCGATCAAAAAACATTACTTGAATCGGCCTTGAATTAAAGGCCGCGGAATTTTTTTATTTTACTTTTATCAGATTTCAGTAAGCAAAAGAATTTCAGCATCTTTGAATATACATTGATCTTTTCTTGCAGGGACTTCTGATGAAGCAGATCGAGTGGGACTCCGAGCGATGTTTGGTCTCACCGGCTGCGTCCGAAATCTTTTAACTTGCCAGGATTTCGTTGTCATCGTCCTTTTGTTTTTCTTTTCATTTACGTAGAAAGTGAGATCGAGTAGGATGAAAAGGGGATTTTGTTAAAGAGTTTTCATCGTTCGGATGAAGAATCGAAAGAACTCAAATGCCTTTTTCGCGTTACAGATTTAGATAATGGCTTTCCAACTGGACGATCTGTTGAAGGATGATAAGAAGGATGCAAACTTGATACCTGATTTGAGTAAGGCGACCTGTAACTCTCAAGAGGAATTCCGGCGACTCAAGGAAAACTGTCCGGAATTTAAAATTAAACCGGAAAAGGTTCAGCCATTTTAATAATAACACATTAAAGTAAATTTGTATAATATAATAAAATATCACATGTCCTCTTAAGTGAAATTATATTAACGAGTAAAAATTAAAAAGCTTGAAATTGCTTTTCGAGACCAATTATAAGAATATGCAATTAACAGCAATTAAAAAAATTGTACAAAGGTAAAACGAGAAGACACAAAAGTTCGCGACAAGGAGTTTTCTTGGAAAGCGACGAAGAAAGAGCTCAAAGCCATCGGCAGGGAATGGGCTTACGGGAATCCAGTTCCACCCGACATGAGAGAATTAGATCTGCAGGAGCTGCAACAAGTCGCCATCGATTGGCGGATGCTAACTCCGATTAGACCGAAGCTTCGTCAGGACGAAGAGATGTTCTCCAGACTGGTAAAGACCCATCGTGTACAATTACATTGTCTATTTCTAAAATTTTATTACTTTATTTGATATAAAAATAGAATGAGATGCTCAATTTTCTCATGCATTTGGCGCTTCAAGGTGGAAATGGGCAAATTGGAATTGAAGACGATAAACAAAGAACGACGTTCGCCGACGAGTCCTATTAGACGAAGCAAGAATCGCGCGGGTATAATCGAAAGCAGCGTGAAGACCTGCAGAGAATGCGGCGAGGAGTATTGCTTCGGTGAATTTTGCGGGGACGTTCTCTACGATTCCTTCGTAAGAGTGCCGGTCGCCATTCATCAACCGAAGATCAAAGTATCTGCTGACACTGAAGCCATAATTGCCAAAATGGATCGGAAGAAGAAGAAGAAGAAGAAAGGAAAGAAGAGGGTGAAGAGTAAAAGCAGAACGTCCAAGAAATCTGCCAGGCTGTTGGTCAACGGCAAGACGAGAAGATCGATAACGGATCTCGAAACCAAGAATGTTAAAGTGAAAGATGGCGGAGGACAAAGTGAGAAGCCGGTGAAGCAGTTTAAGAGGAAGTGTAGCAAGTATACGAAAAAAGGCCTTTTACGCAAATAATAATTTATAGTATACAGGAATTGGAAAGCCTGTAAAAAGTTGCATGCGCTTTAAAGATACCTCACATATGTATTTCCATAATATGTAATTTGTATAACGGGCTTCTTGATAAATATAAGGAAAAGTATTAATCGAGTATTAAAAAAGTAAACATATGCGGCACATCTTTGATAATCTATATCTATCCAAAAGTACTTGTAGATAAGATGTAAAGTAGACAAGGGTTATGTTGCATTTTCAATAATGCAAAAACGTAAAGTTCTGAAGTGTTAGTATGGAAAAAAAAATATTTCTAAACAACGAAAGCTATATATAGTTGTACAAATCGAACAGACGCACAATGAATGCTCCCAATTAAATGCTGGAAAAATATAACTTTTATTCAGTTTGTCTCTCTTCTCTCTCTCTTTCTGTCTTTCTCTACCTTGTCCCAAGATGCGTTCAGCTATTCGTACATTTTTCCATAAATATCACAACCGAAAAGCATATTTTCGCGAAAAATGTTCTGTTCGCCGCGAGCGCGACAAGAGTGCGAAAATATATATTTATGTATCTCTTATATATCTCTTTTGCATTTCACAAATATATAGAATCTATCTCGATAATATATATTCTGATTTCATACGCAATAATCATTCACGTGATACGCGGAAACAGAATATTTTTCGTCAATATTATATCTTCCCCATTGGTTTTCGAATATGTTTCGTTTATCATATTCTCTTGGTTTGCCTTAATGCTAACGCTCACAAAAGCTAACAATAAGATTTAAATTAATCGAAATACACGCACATTTACACGACTATGTGTATATATATATATATATATCCACATATGTATATATATATATGCATATCCACAAATTCATATATATATATGAGAGCACCTCTATATATATATATATACACACATCGTGAATTTCAATATTATAATTTGTCACACGTTGTCGTGGTCGTAACAATCCCTTTGTGAATAAAATAAATTATACATAGACTATGTCATACATGTATATTCGACACAGTTGCCTCGCGATTATTTGCTCTTTCTCGTTTTCTTCTTATCTTATCTCTACGTAACAGTCGATATTTCGAATGCGATCAGAGTCCTCGTGTGTGTGTGTGTGTGTGCCGCATAGCCGTAAAAATTGCAGCTACACCGAATCGCATGTCCAAAATAGGCCATCATAATTGCGCTATCGTTATTTCGATGCACGAATCGGAGAGATTCGCGAAATGTTGCACGTTGGCGTATGGACTGTGACCGAGAGATACGTCACATTCATCGGAAAATATGCAGCACTCTATGGATTTGTAATCGAACATGCTGTATTAACGTTCAGCACGCCACGTCGTTCACTTTGAAAATGGAAAAAATCAAATCCGACATAATCCTCTTACAGAATTGAACACCGCAAAATGTGACTTGTACCATTTTCAAAATAGACACAGATGCGTAATTCGTTGGACGCTGATCGATCCTTCGAAAATATCTGTCTAAACATCTGATCGCTAGATCTTAGCTGCCGCAGAAACCGTTCTGGATACGCAGCATTGCACATTATACATTTAGTAAGAAGAACATTGCTCGTTAATATACATATGTACAGTGGCGATATAATACTTCTTCGATTTTATAGTCAATTCGTCTTCTCCAGAGAGCGCCTCTTTCATCTCTATTTAGTCTCATTCAGAATCTTCGCCGTAGAACGTCGGAGAAAGTACTCTCTCCGCTCGAGTAAATCTAGAAAGAATCTCGCAATAGCGAGAGTGTTTCACATCCGATACGACTACACGTCGAATATATACAAAGCATGGTAATTCGACATACGTGGTGCACATTCGGCGTGTTCTGCCAATTCAGCTAGATTCGTTTTTGCGAATGCAACGTAGGCGATGTTGCTCTATTTTTAGAACAGTACTTAGAAAAATAAATTTCTTGTGCTTCCCTCGCCGATGCGATTCGAAAGCCATTTCTCCAGCCACGCTCCAGTTTTCCTTTCGCGCGGGTGTTAAGTACGCCGCTAACTAGCTCGTTAAGCTAATGGTTGGATCATTACGAGCATAACTTGAATCATCTCTGAAACTTTACTAGTGCACTACTGAGGAACTTCCACAAGTCTCAATTTTGCGCTCATTTCGTCATCAAGTATAATATAATTTATAACTTTGTTACAAATAAAATAATAATGCACACGCCGCGATATAACAATCAGTTTCATTGAAGTCGCTATTCCATAGCTCTCTCGATTTTACGTAAAATTTAATTCGATACTGCTCGTAATATCCCGACTTGCCACGTCGATTCTTTGCAAATTCTAATGCACAGGGAAAGCTCGAAAAATGAACTTGTAAAAGTTTCGAAGAAAGACTCGGCTCTATCGTGTAAATTAAATTAGCTACTCAATTAGCTACTGAGATAGTCGCTCGCTTGGCGCCAACTGCCAACGAACTGACACTCTCTGATGATTACAAAGCTACAAAGGATGGTGAGAGAAAATTCACGCAGTCTTATGACTTTCGGTCAAAAACCTAAACGTAGTCCCCGAATATAGCATAGCTAAAATCTCCTTTGATACTCACGAATTATTAAGAAGAAAATTCAGCCTCGAACGTAATCGAAAAGCAAAGATCCTTTTTTGGCACAGGACATAAACAGTCGTTACAAGCAATTTGATTAACGATAGATAGTTCCTTTGCTTGTAGATTTATAATTCAAGCTCATTCTATGTGTGTTTTATAAATAACTTCTTTCTTTTTCTTTCTTTTTATAATCCATTACGATGATCACCGCAACGCACTTTCCGCAAGAGTGTATGTTTTGTCTTTTTCTCTAATACATGGTGATCTTCGTATGTGTGTACATGTATACTTATGAGAATATATCAATGTCCAGTATACAAAATATGAATGGCTATACACGAACAAGATACTTCTCTTCAAGATTCCCACTCACACATAAAAACTACGAGTGATTCAGCGTTAGTCTGCAACACTCAAGTAATCCTCAGGTATAGTACTCTTATCACAATATTGTCATACATCTCAAGTGACCGCATTCTCTCCCTCTCACTCGCTCTCTTCCTCCTTAAAATTAGCGATACAATAATTTTACACGTTAACAGATAGCTCTTAATTCATCGTTTAGAATGAGTGTTGTCATAACGTCTGTTCTACAACAATGATAGAATAATCTGTTCGCTCACATCGAATCATCCCTCTCGTGAGTATAATCTTTTATATATATATGTATACATATATATATATATATATATTATCTTTCTTTTTTTCATTTTCTGATAAAATGTAAATTAAGATATTTTGAAAGAAAAGTAAAATCTCGATTAACTCTCCCAATGTGTAACACTCGTGCAGCGCTAGCGTTGTAGAGCTTAATGTCTAATAGCGATAGAGGATATTGATAACATACTCCGACAGCAATGCCAATAAAATATGTACAACACATAAAGGTCCTTTCGTGGATCACTTTTAACGCGTGATTAAGAGATTGGTCTATTATCGTTTCTACATGGCATGAGAGATGAACGACTGAGTTCACAAATGATGGTCGAATGATTTTGATCGTCTCGCTTAACGCAATTCAATTATTCAAAACGTTCGCGTGACAGAAAATATCTGAGAATAATTTGCAAAATATTTGATGCAACAGGATGTAAAATTCAGTCGTGAAAATTATAAAAAATATTACTTCCATCGTTCTCATTTTCTTCACCACCTTCACACCACGTGTTCATGAAACAGAAATTGAAATTATGAGATCTATTTTCAAAATTCTACAATTATAGTAGCTGTAATATTTATATCATAACATTTCCTATCTGAATTGCACAGCATTTGTAAAAACATAGTCAAAGATATAGAAAGTAATATGTCAGCATTTTGTCATGCTTGCGAGTAAAATTGTCGGTCATGATATATAAATGAAAATCAAAAACATACACTTTTCACCAAAAAGCACAAGAAATTAGCATGCCTTTGTTATTAATAACATTATTAATAACAATATCTATATGTACATATACTTGCAAAAATATCAAGACACTTTATCTGCATGTTTTCTATCAGAAAAGTTTTCATATAGACATAAAAAGCGTCAAATAATTAACAAAGCACATTATTTGTGAATGACCACAGGATATCACGTCAATTTCAACATTTATATATACACATCCTGTTACACAAGTGTGTGCATTAGATCAGGATCTAAGCTACTCATCGTCGTTATCACATTAACTATGACTTTTACTGTCACCAATTTACGTGATGTTATCTATACCGCTCCACCTGAAACTCATATTACTGATGTACTTAATAAGAATAATAAGTGTTAAGAATATGTCAATTGTGTGAAAATAAATCTTCAATCCTATGTTTGATGCAAAAAATAATTTGTCATTAGCGATTACGTAGAAAAATATGATATTGTAGAAACAATCCCGTACATCAGCAATATGAGTTTGTCGATTTCAGAGATTGTCCTGCATTATGAATATCACTGTGGAATATATGAGATGTACTTTCTATGTTTTGGCCTACAACCGTCCGTATGCATACAATGCGAGAATATCAATGAAAAGATTAAAAACTGGCATTTAAGTAACAGCGAAATGACAATGGACATAGAATTCTTCTTAATGTAGAAATAGCACGATTGTACAAAATATTCTTTATAAGATTACTCAACGAAGGACACAAATGGCATAAGTACCATTCCTAACCGTTGCAAGAGTTTACGATACACACAGATCCACCACATATATAGACTTAATAATTATATAAATGAAGTATACTATTATGGACTTGTGTAAAGGTACCTAAGAAACCTAATATGTGTACAAGAATTATATAGTAAATGTGAAAATTATGACTTATGCCACTCTTATTAAATGCAAGTGTGGACTAAGTGGACTTAGTGGACTAAGAAAAATGAAAAATGTACAAAAATCTTCATCCTATTACGCGCCGCTCTCACGTGATCTCAAAGTCATGATAACTAAAAAATCGAATTGATCCAACAACCTAATTCGATTGGCATTACAAACCAGAAGAAAGGAACGATTTGGTCAGGCGGTCGCAACTAGTAAGTCACTTGAAACACACCTGATTTGTTGAAAAGCGACAAACGTCTTTTAAACCAAGGGTTTCTCACTCATTCTATTCCTTCTCGAAAGGAATAACAGGATTATATGCAATCATTCTCAGTCATCCTTACGAGCTTTTTTCTTACTTTTTTTCTGTGGCTTTGCTTCTGTCCAGACGTCTAGAATAAGATTTACAAAAAGCATATTAAACAATTGGAAAATATAATTTCTCATAATTTCTTTTTCTTAATGCAACAAACCTCCTAGTTCATCGAACACAGCAGTTTTCTCTTTATTCTCCACGACTTTATTTTCTTCCTCATTATTGGTTACGCTAGCTGCCTTTTTTACGCTAGTTGCTTTTTTCTGCGGCTCTTCCGCAGCAGGTTTCTTATTATCCGACTTTGGTGTGGATGGTAGTGAAGCGGGTGTGTTCCCATCCTCAGACACTTTCTTGTTCTTCTTCGACTTCCCACCTTTCCTCTCTTCCTTCTCGACTTTCTCGGCCTAAAATCCAATATTTTATTTGTAAATAATTATGAGCTCTCAAACTTTACTGTAGTGCACAAACTTTACTGCACTACTGTATGCACTTTACCTTATTCTGCTCTTCTTTCTGCAATTCCTTGGCTGTACTTATTTCTTCATTAGAGATCGGTGTAAGGATCACTTCTTTCTTCTCTTTTTCCTTGAGTTCCTTGTTCTCGGTTTCCTTAACAGTTTTATCCTTGATCTCAGGGGTCTCCTGTTCTTTCTGCTTAGCCTCATTTATTAAATCAGCTTTTTTGGGGGTTTTCTTATTCTTCTTCAAAGGAGATTCTTCTTCTTTCTTCTTATTTTTCTTGTCCTTGCGTGAATAAGCTTGCTCCCAGTCTCCTATTATCAATTATATTATTGACACGAATAGATAACAACTCAAAACAATTGTATGCAACAAATAAATGTTATCTATTTATGCTAATATATGTAAATCAACCAACCATCATCAAAATCCACTGGTTTTTCCTGAAATAGATTTTTCAAATTTTTCTTGTTCTTCACTTGCTCCACTTTATTTTCTTTTCCAGCCTTAACTAGAGGCTGCTCCTTTTCTTTCTTAGTTGCAATCTTGTTGTCTTCATGCTTGCGCTCTTTCAGTTTGCCATCGACATCATCTCCTTTTGCAGCTTTCTTTGGAGCATCTGTTTTTGTTGCTAATGTTTTTTTAATTGGACTTGTTTTTTCAGATGCGACTTGTCCATTAGAAGCCTTCTATAATAAAACACATAAGAACTGATTATATAATAAAATTTTATAATTATATCATCTAACATCAAAGTGTACTATTTAAAATTAAAAAATTGAATAAAATTTATAAATTATAGACTTTTGTCATACAAAAATTGAACAAAACTTTCTTAAAACTTTCTTTTATAAAAATTTACTGCATATGCTCATTAAATTTTATCTTTCCAATATATATTTAAAAGTAAATGTAAATTATAAGTTTTATTTGTATATTAATATAAAAGATCACATTTGCAGTAGTGATATAAGATTATACTCAGAGATTGGTTCAGAAATCTGTTTCTAAGAAACATTTTTTTTATCTGCATCTCCACACATTTTCTACCTAAGATAACATACAAAGATAAAATAATCGGTTTTCAAAAAACAACAAAGATAAATAGATAAAAAATGCCCATAAAAAAATAGACATATTTATTATTAAACATGCGGTAAAAATGCGAGACCAGTATCATGGGAACACGACTAAGATGTCTCGTCGGCAGATGAAACAAACCTCGCCGCGTTGCAACGTTACGTCACGACGCGCGGAGAAGAGAATGAAACAGCCACCTCGCGAGCCACCCTCTCGAACGGAGGGACCAGCTGATTAGCGGTCGTGTGTGCGTGTGCAACGATTTACGCCCACAAACGAGTCACCATATGGCGGGCGATCACGACGCGTCTACGGGGAAAAGGGACGAAAGGGAGGAAACGGGAGAGACGCGCGTCCAGATCGCGCGGAGCCAATGTCATTTTACTAACCTTCTCGCGGACCTTGCCGCGCTTCTTAGTTAGCTTCCGGTCCACGTCAGAGCCCGCGGACAGCTGGGCAAACGGCGGCTGTTCAGCCTTCTTGAAGCCGAAGGCAAAGACGAGAATGGCGCATACCAGCACGATACCCACGGGGATCGCGTACACGTATTGCTGCAGTAGCAGACCGATTTGGTCCATGGCGATGCGCGACGTTGCTCACGAACGTGCTCGTGACGGCCGGACCCTGTACGTGTATCCGGAACACAGGGACGATATACGGACGATGATGAAGACAACCAGCGGTGAACCAGACGGCTGAACGCGATGCGGCGCGCAAACAAGTCGGACAGCGAATGCGGCATGCGCTACGCGCTCTGGCAGACACGTGGCGAACTAAGGCCTGCCAAGCAGGCGACCACCAGGTGCTGACGCGGCTGTGACGCGTACCGCGATCGTTCCTCAAAGCGCCACCGGTAGCCTTAGCGAGAGATAAATACATGCGGACGTTTCAATTTATTTCAGATTGTCTCTCACAGATGGCGATAATAATCGAACGTCACGGTGAGGTTATGTTTTACAGAGCAAAATACAAAGTATAACAACACTGGAATTGTTCGCCGTTTGAGCTTTACATAATTACGCATGGTCGGACGTGATCGATTATCAGCGGTCATGTGAAAACTTGACGCGCAACCTCATTCATATCTTTTGCGCCGCTGAGCAATCTTGACTATTGCGATATCATTCCGTGATCGCATATCGATCGCTTCCAATAGCTTCTGATTTAACTTCTCATCGGTGATCAGTTACTGATTCTTCATTATGTTGGAAGGAGTAAAGCACGTGCTGTTAGTACTTTCAGGAAAAGGCGGTGTCGGCAAGTCGACAATCAGCACTCAGCTGGCACTTGCTTTGAAAGAATCAGGTTTTCGCGTGAGTGTCAACTTTTCCGCGACAGCACGACTACGATAATATGAAATGCTAAACTGATAATCATGTCTTCAATATATAACTCAAACAGAAACACAATCACAATAACTTTACAATCTATCGAATTAATGTAATAATGGTTTAATGGTTTTTAAAATCTTTTTACATTATTGTTAATGCAATAAAAAACAAATATTCTGATAAACCAATTTTTACAGCTTTTAAAAGCTAAATATTTTTTATAATATAATCTTATTTCTGTGTGGAAATAGAATAAAACTAAATACAAGAATTACAAATTATAGGTTGGGATCTTGGATATAGATCTCTGTGGTCCTAGCATACCTTACTTGCTGAATTTAGAGGGAAAAGATGTTCACCAATCCTCTGAGGGGTATGTTGTATCATTTGAATAATATTTCGTCAAAAATTACGTATTGTCAAGGAAAGAAATAAATCGATACTGATTATTAGGTGGTTACCAGTGTTTGCTGACGAAGAGGAGAATCTGTCCGTCATGTCAATCGGTTTTCTCTTGAAGAATCAGAATGATAGTGTAGTCTGGCGTGGTCCTAAAAAAACTGGTATGATCAAACAGTTCCTAACTGATGTGGTTTGGCGGGACATTGATTATCTGATCATTGATACACCACCTGGCACTTCTGATGAGCATATTACAGTCATGGAAAATCTAAGGTTAATTAATGACCAATTTTACAACTGCTAACACACTATCAATATTTGATTATTCCATTACAAGATAGCTGAAATTCTTACAGCAACATAAGTTGCGATGGTGCGATCATAGTGACTACTCCACAAGCAGTTGCTGTAGATGACGTTTTGCGAGAAGTGACATTTTGTAGAAAAACTGGAATTAACATAATCGGCATTGTTGAAAATATGAGTGGCTTTGTGTGTCCTTCATGTACAGTAAGTACTTTTCCATCCTAGCCGTACTCAATATAACTGTTCAATATAATTTTCACAAATTTAACTTTTACAGGAATGTACCAATATATTTTCTTCAGGCGGTGGAATAGCTCTTTCAGAGATGATAAAAGTTCCATTTCTAGCCAAAGTGCCTATAGACCCGCAAATGGGTAAGTTAGCAGACAAAGGACAGAGCATTTTGGTGACGTTACCTGATAGTCAAGTTGCACAGGTATTCAGAAGACTAGTTGAAGAGGTCACTAAGAGTAAGGAAGCTTGAAGTTTCTCTTCTGAAGACAGAGTTTGCCATAGCACTGTGTGTGATTTCCAAGATTATATGTATTATATATATTTGCACGTGATATTACTGTCAATTTTATCCCAGACAAATTTGTAGGAAATTATACAGGAAACTGTATATACAAGTACCTAAAGTTTTTTGTACTATAACGTGTATAGTTATAAAAAAAATAAAAAGTTATATTATTTTATATAGCAATATAGCAATATAGCAATTGCGTATAATAAAAAAGGAGAAAATTACCAAAAGACAGACACTTTCCTAATCTACACATTAAATATTCCATTTTATTTTTATCCTCAATAATATTGCTACAGTGCAAATTCAAATTGCACTGGAATAAAACCTTTTGCACCGACATACCATAGTGAGACAGTAATAACAATATACAGCATCTCGTGACAATACTGTCTATACAATGTATCCAAAATTCTATATATCGATCTTCTTAAACTGTATAAAGAGAGTGTTCATTTGTTTCCCCAACCCCAAAGACCTTTGACAAAGCCGGTGAGACCGGCCTGTCCTCTTTTAGCCTGATCGCCCATTTTGTGCGACAGATCAGGAAACTCAACCATGTTAAAAGCCAGATCGAAGAAAAGCGGCTTACAAGGAATGCTGCGCATCGGTGGTGGCAATTTGTAGACGTTCGGTTGTTTGGTGAGAAGCGCGGGATCTTCTCTGTACTCATGCAAACGTTCAAAGAGCGGTTTCTTACTTTTGGCAAGTTTATTTGTTCCACTCTCCTCTTCCTGACCATCCTCTAGAACACTGTGAGCGTGAGCAGCATACTGTGCAGCCTCCACAGAGGTTTCCAGCTTGCATAAAGCTTCTTTCAGCATGATTGGAAGAACCTTGTCACACTTAAGGGCGTCCTTAACATGCTGTAGTGATCTTTGATACAGAGCCATAGCCTCGCGCCAACGATGCAAATTGGCAAGCGATTGAGCCATATAGAAACATCTAAAGGCTCTGTAACTCTTCGTTTTCGCCTCCTGCTCTTCCAAAAATTCCGCATCGTCTTGCAGTTGAGATATCTCCACAAGATTATGCAATGCCGCCTCATATAAGCGCACTATGTCTTGCGGCTTGGCCTTCTCCGATTCCTCTGCTGCTTTTACCAGTGCCAAATTGCGTTCCAATGTACGAGACAATCGGATATACTGCAAATAGTTGATCAGATGCTGCGGGGTCGACCACTTATCATTTTCCTTACTTTTCAACTCGTTCTTGAAATACTCACGCACCACCGATAGAGCATCCTTGCTGTCTATCAAGTGTGCCTCTAATAGATCGATCTTTGCCTGATTGGAAGCAGCCTTTTCTAGAGCTTGATTGAGCCTGGTATCTGCGATGATCAGACCAGCTGCTCTAGGTGGCACTGTGCCACAAGACTTTCCACGCCACATTACTTCCTCGGTGCTAGCCTGCTTCTCACGCGTCTGAGCTATCAGAGAGTCCAAACTGGCCATCAACTCGCCACTCAATTGACCACGCATCTGCATGAGGTCATCTATAGCACTAGTGTCTCCAATGTTGTAAGCACAATATCTGAGACTGGGTGCCAACTCCTCGACTCGTGCTTTATACACAACTTGCTCAGCTTCCGGCAACGCAGATGCCAGATTACCGTAAACAACCTGTGCCTTTTGCAGGTTCTCCATAGCTTGCTTCCACAGTTGCAACTCGAACTGCAAGGAACCATTCATCCAAGCGACATATGCTTGAGCTTCCAGCTTTGTACGCGCATCGCAATTTACATTCTAAAACAATAAAATTAAATTAAATTTTAATAATTTCATATAATAGTTTATTAAAAAAAATTTATATAAAAAATTATAAACAAAATTATTATAAATAATCTATTCTTTTTTTTGTTTTATAGATGTTAACAATGAAATGTACCTCTATCAAATCTTGCAATTGTAAAGAGTATATAGCTGCTTTCTTCAGCCTTGATATCAAATGGAATTTCTTCCTTGGTTCCGTATTAGATTCCTGGCGCAGTTGCATCGCATAGCTCCAAGCGCGTTCAGCCATTATTAAAGGCACTTGCAAAAATTTATCGTCGCTGACCATGGTCGCGGTGACATCTTTTCTCTTAAAATGACGTCTGTCACCCTGTGGTACTTTCAGCACCTTTCGCAATCTTCTGAGTCTTCTAGAGCAATAACCGCGATACCGCTGGTAATCACTATGTCTCAACCCATGTTGCTGTTGTGCTTCCTTGATTATTTTCAAAACTATATATTTGTTAAGGGTCACTAACAATATAAAATATTGTAATTACAATAACAACAAATTAAATGTCTGTACATTACGTGATAAATTTTCACTCTATGTAAAAAATTAATATACTTTTGTTATGTTAATAGATTGCATTGTAAATTTAATAAATTTAACTGTATTTAATAAGTTATTAATAATGTAATGAGAGGTTAGAAAATAACATATGGCACTGAAAGTTCTGTCAAAATTACAAAGCTAATTTTAAAAAAGGATACTCTCCAAAGAATACGTTTTCGGTTCCTTTCCGATTACCCCATCCTGATTCTCCTCCAAAATATCGACTTTCTCTTCAACTACCATCGTTTATCAACCACGTACTCTATCTGCTCTATCTTTATTCTTTATAAACCAGACTCGATAAATTCTTATAGAAAAATTTTGTATTTAAACGCCATCTAAGGATGCGTTCCGAAATGTGCTGACAGTGGCTTTAGTTCAATTAAGGCACTAGATATGTAGGTATTCTCATCCGCCATTTTGGTTCCTATTAGATGGAGAATTATAGCGTATACAGGGTGACACTTAAAGACTGCCCACTAAGTACATAGCGTTATTCCTTGACCAAAAAATGAGTCGAAAAAAGTCCTGAATCATTTTTAATAATTGACGTGTTACACATGTACGCTATACTATACTATATACGCTACAATTCTCCATCTAGTAGGAACCAAAATGGCGGATGAGAATACCTACATATCTAGTGCCTTAGTTTAATGACTCAAACCACGGACTAAGGAATAGAGGGACCTTTGGTAAAAGAAACAGGAGGGAGCATATACTAGCCAGTGCCGGGATTCTGTAACTCTTTAACGACAAAAATCGTTATCGTTAACTATCGATATCGATGATAATCGCAAAAGGTTATTCTGTAACTAGTGGGTATCGACAATTCTCGATATTTGAATCGTTAAATTCCGAAAAGTATCGAAGCCGTGTCGATGTGATTGCGATCGATGCCGGAGG